GAGGGGTTGGCGTGGGACGGGTCTGGGTGGTTTGAAAATCACAGCTGGGGTGGGGGGCTGGCAGAGGGGGTAGGGTGGTGAGAACCCAAGAGGCCCTTGCAGACAGGGGGAGATGTAGGTGTTCGGAAATTCTCTGGAGGCCATCCAAGGGTGTTCGGCCCCTTGATTGTGGTGAAATCCCTGAAGAAAGCGGCTGAGCGCAGAACAGAAATATATCTATATCCATATCATCTATATGGACATTCACACTGACACCTACATCGATATATTTCTGTGATAACATGTTAGAGATCAGAGAACGCTCCCCAGATAAAGCCTAGTGGCTTGTTGCAATGTTTGTTTCTCCGATCATTACATTTTCTTTTATAAGCAAAAGACAGGAAGAGACAAGAGACGTGCTTTGGTGATGGCCCTGGGCCATTGGGTAGGGTTGGGGAATGGAGAGAAGTTTTAGGAGATTAGGGACCCCTTGCGAGGAGCAGACGGAAGAGGGGATCAAGCGTTCCCTGGCAATGTGGATTTGGAGGGTTGGGTCGGCGGGAAGGGGAAGTGACCGGCTTCTTCTGGAGGCGAATAATGGAAATCTGGAGAACTTTCCAGTCGAAAGTTTCGGGGGCTCGTCCGACATCCTTCCCACCTGGGTTGTGGATGGGTCCCCGGGGCCCAGAGGGTTGCCGCTGGCTGCTTTTCTAAGCAGATCACCACGCCTCTTTCCCTGGTCTGTCTTGGTGGGGACGCGCTGCTGAAACCTCACACCAGCCTTTACGGACAGGCAGGTGGGGGCTGTGCATGACGCGATCTGGGAATCAAACCCAGATCTCCCGCACGGATGGCAGAACTCCAGCCCCAAACCACCCGTGTTCCCTCTAGGGAAGTGAAGTCCACAGTCCACCAGTCGGTCCCAACTCAGAATGACCTTGTTCCTGAGCATTTCGGAGACTCGTAACCAGTTATGGAAGTAGACAGCCTCATCTTTCTCCTTTGGAACGGCTGGTGGGTTCGAACGGCTGGCTTTGCAGGGAGCGGTCCAATGCTTCACTCACAAGATCTCTCCCGCAAATTTGGGGACCTTGGAGCAGGGGCTGGACAGGTTCCAGGGAAGGCAGTGTGCCGGACAGGTTCCAGGGAAGGCAGTGTGCCAGTGATGCCCCGTCTTTCTGAGGCTCCTGCTGGTCTGCTTTGGACCATAGCTTTTCTCTTTGTTTCTGCGCCCCTTACCCCAGCAGGAGTTGACCCTCCTGAGGGACCCTCATGAGAGTAGAACTTCCCCCAAGGACGAAAGGTCACTGGGTCTTTCTCCAGGGGAGCTGCAGGGTGGGCTGGAATTGACACGCTTTCTCTTCGCAGCCTAGGGTATGACTCTGTGTGCTCAGGGGCTCCTTGTCCACTTCCTCTAGCAGGTTAATACAAACCAGGCAAGTGCACCAAGGTGAGATGCTTGCAGTTTATTGTCCAGGGCATGGTGGAGGGGCTGGGGTGGGGGTGGGTGAAGGGCAATCTCAAGGACTTTTGCACGCAGTAGTGGATGTCTATCGGCTTCAAAATCCCACGAGTTTTGGGTTGCTAAGTTCTAATTGCACTGTGGGCTGCTTATTATTTTCTTCTGAAACAGAAGAAGATGAGACAAAACAATGTGAGTGAACGGACCTCGCCTGTTAGGTGCACGCAATGCTCTAGAAACGCTGAAGTCTCACAAGAGGAGGGGCTGACCTTGGGACAAGCTGCATTGGTCGTAGCTTGGCCTGGTTCTGCAAGAATGCCAGGGGCAATGCCAGCGAGAAGCTGTTCCCTGGTTCCCTCAGGGACATTTGCCTTGGAGGTTCTTCTTCCCACTCTGGACATTAGGAAAGTCCAACCAAACCCGTTGCTATCCGACTCATGACAACCCTGTAGGCTGCAGATCCGAGCCACTCCAGAGAGTGCTATGGACTGTAGTCTTTGTTTACTGGGTAGGTGGTGCAGACAGTTAAGCATTCACCCACTAGCCAAGTGGTTGGTGGTTCGAACCCGCCCTGAGGCATGTTGGAAGATGGGTCAGGTGACCTGCTTCCCAAAGATTTCAGCCTGGAAAACCCCATTTCTGTGCACCTGGGGTTGACTTGCATTGGTGCCAACTGAATGGCGACTAGCGGCCAAGGCGGCCGTGATGGAAGCCCATCGCTCGGAACCTTCTTCCTTGAAAGTGGGTGTGTTCAACCCGTGAACCTCTAGGGACTGAGGGGCTTAGGAAGCCCGCCCACGTGCACGGAAGGTAGCTGCTTACCGTGAGCTTCATGACGTTTTCTTTGGCCATCTGGGGGAGTTTGTCCAGCGATTCCTTCATTAGGACCCCGGAGTTTCTCATGGCGAAATCAGGGTTGAAAGGTTCAGTTGCTTCTATGTAGTCAGAAACTGTGCCCATGAGGAGCTGTTGGATAACGTGTAGGAATGCAGGGCAGATCCCTGCCGAAACTGGAACACACAAAAGGGAAGCCATGTGTAGCCAGGCTATTTCCCAAGTTGGCGAGGCCTCTGGCTGGGCCTGAGCCAGATCAACAGGCAGGTCAGCTTAACGAACGGCGAGGCCCAGTCTCTCTTCCAACCTCCTCTAACTTTACAGGTGAAGAGAGTTGCCATCACA